AAAAAAACAGTCAAGTACAACCAAAGGTAGGCCTACTAGCAATGCAAGATCGAGCACTCGCATAGCAAAAATGAGGCGGAAATTGGTTCAGACGTACGCGGCGCCCTTCTCTTTCTATAATGCAGGTTTTCTATAGTTGGTCCAAACGTATAGGGCGCCCTCCTGTTGCTAAGATCATCCCAAAACGATATAATACATTTGTCCAGTGAAAGTGATTTGCAACTATTTCTTGTAAAATGATTATGATTTTCATTATCAAATGTAAAATACGATTTTTTTCAAGCACATTTCCATTTAAACACTTACCATATATACTAAAGATGATCGTTTAAGGTGAAATACATCATTAAGGTTCAGTCAACCAAGTGATGTGAACATTTCTTTAGAAGGTGTGAGAAATCGAGATTATTCATACCGTAGAGCCACTATTAAGGGAACATCTTATCGACCAAAAGGAGTGTCCCCTTAATAGAAATGTATTCAGCGGACACTAACAAAAAGTGTTAAACTGTCCCTTAATACGGGTTTTGACCTACGAATGAGTTTCTGTAACTAATTTATAACAATAATTGGGTAATGAAGCCGTGTTAGTCTAAACAATATACAAAGAAAATTAAAAGGCAGTACTCTGAGACTAACTTAGATGCCAGCTTCATCAGGTGCCAGCTTCACCTGATGAAGCTGGCAATGACTGCCAGCGAAAGCTTGTGTTAAATAAATAACATCTAAGTTAGTCTCAGAGTGCTGCCTTTAAATTTTCTAACAATAATTTGCAATTCAAAAGATAATTCCTCTATGATATGTAATCAACAGATATGTAATTAAAACTACTAAAGTTGTATATGTTCCCGATATTGTTTCTTGATTCAAGTGCATTGTTAATGACCAAATAGTCTTTTTTCTTAATTGAGCTTTCTATTGGATGCACAAAATAGAATAGTGTGAGTAGAGAAACGACTTAAAAATAAATGTATATATATAATACTATATAAAAATACACAAAACAAGAAATCACATATCACATGGTTAATGGTCAAAACTTACATGATTGTATTTACACAAAGTAACACATGGACTAAGCACACTCATGTCCATTCTAAAGATTGAGAGGAAAACATGGTTTGATGTTAGCTCAGAAGGTGTCAGAAGGTTGAATGATTAATTATGAGTTAAATTGATTTGACTATTTTCCACACTCGGAAAGTGTCCCCGTCCCCTTAATAAGGGTGTCCCCTTAATAGGGGTTAGACGTAGTTTAATTATAAAAGATATGTCCCCTCGTTTCACGGAAAGTGTCCCCTTAATAGGAATGTTCCCTTTATAGGAGTGTCCTAAAGGAGTGGCTCTATTGTTATTAGAAAAAAGGAAAAGAAAACTGTAAAAATGATTTTGATAATCCTGTTTACTCCTGTTTACAGAATGTCTCTACGAACCAAAAAAAAACATTTTTACAAGGAACCATCACAACGTGGCCAAGGAGTATGCAAAGAGTGGAGACCAAATGCAAATGCTTGACGAGGCCTACACGATGCAATACAAATTAGGTCTAGATCACCACGATACGTCTCTTATTCACAACAATAGGGGGAAATTTATGCTATGAAAGAGGATTATGAACAATCAGAGAAAAACTTTACTATAGCATTAGGTCTTCGTATGAAAATACTTGGTGATGTGCACACATCTACAGCCGGTACACTACATCAGTTAGGATAGACACTACTGAAGGCAGGGAAGTTTCTGCAAGCTGTGCACAGATTTGAGGAAGCTTTTGTTACCAGAAAGGAAGTCTTGGCACAGCAACCTCAAAATAGAGGTGTTGCTGAAACCTTAGGAAATCTCTGTCAGGCTTATGAGAAATCCGGACAGGAAGAAAACACAGAGAAAAATAAAGAACTGTTAAATCAATAGTTAGCTCGATTGCGACATTTAAGAAATGAATGTTTTTGTTTATATTGGCTTATTTCCAATCTTAACGCAGTTATTTGTGAGTGCATTTAGTGGGAGTACTTTCACAGATGCCGAGTATAGACTAACTCAGCCCCACCATGTGTGATTATGGCACCTCTACAATTGATTAACAAAAAGCAGACCTTATATTTTTACAAGAAACACACTATAATAAAAACAAAAAACTAAATTATAATGTTATTTTAAAGAAAAGGAGTTAAAGACTTCTATTTAACTTTTGTAGAAACCAAAAACTACCAAGAGTGCAAAGCAAGTGGAAAAGTAATCTACAGATGAGTACAATAGATTGGGATGCATCGTTGGAAGAATAAGGTGATTTCTATGATGCACATGAAAAAGAAAGCACATTTTAACTTTAAATTTGGTCACATGTTACTTCCAACAAAAGCAAATTATGGAATCTATCCGCTACAAATTTATTTGATTACTGCAAACTACCTGAAAATGAAGAACACCTGTTATTTAAATGCAGGAATACAGAACCATATTTGGTAAAATTGTATTCTTTGTTAGAAACATGTTTTTCTATTCCACCTATTTTAGTAAAGTGGAGTAAAATTGTACTTGTATGTTTAACGAAATAATTATATTAATAATGATT